GATTGAATTAATCTTATTTTGTCTAGCTAAAATTGTATAAAATATACATTTACTTGAAATTGTGGAAAACATAAAAGTTTATCGGTTGAACTTTGAATTACGTTCAATCGTTAAAATTTACACTTTCTTTACAAACCTAGCACGTAAGTACTATAAATAGAAGTTCGTTTATTTGTCGTCATTAAATAAACTGTAAAAATTATCGTATATTAGAATTTAGAAGCTACAATAAACAGCAGTGGTCAGTGACCGTTAGCTCGTCATCGTTATCATTATCGGTAAAATTATCGCACTAAAAGATATTATTAAAATAAATGGTTTCATGCCCTGACACCACTGATGCACTTTGGAAACCAGCAGTCTTTAACAATATTATAGCAACGCGCTCTAAATATTTTAAGAACTCAATAATTATCAATAATAAATTTCTTTAATGTATTTTAATAATATCATACTTTGTAATTTAAATCTATATTATATTATAAATAGTATTATTGACATACTATGAACAATTTTGTTTCGTCAATGAAAATACTTGTCAAATTAAATAACTATATTGACAACTTATCTATTGGACGATTGGAGACTACAGTATTTATTAAAAAAACAGTTAAAACAGCATTTCGATAGCAATTTATATTAATGAGTATGCAATTTTACCTAAAAAAAATGTGATTTATCTTACTCTTATTTATCTAACATTTTTCTATTTTGCATTATCTTAGTGGGTAAAAAGTATTGAATTAGAATTAAAAAAATAATAAGTTGAAATTACTTACACATATATTAAGTTAGGGTAACTTATTGTATTCCATTGTAAACATATAATGGTTATAATTAATTCTTCGACGCGCTTTTCGTTAAAAATCATTACTATAAGGCTACAAGGGGAACTATAATGGTATGAATACTACTGCAATACTTGTATAAATAAAGGCTCAAGAAAACCACCATCTTTTAAAATGAACAGAAAACGATGTTAAGCTCCAGTAAAGCGTGTAAAGTTATGTGGGATACTGAACTGCAGAATTATTAGAAGTCTACATTCACACACTTAGTCCTTAGATAATACAAAATATTATTGGAAGTCCTACTATATAAGCTCTTTAAAATCTTAAATGCCAATAGGTTCTATTCTACACGCGTATTTGACAATTTAAGCATGATCATTTACTAGAATCGACAATAATCACTTTTTACAAAATAGATAGCAAAAATTAAATACCAGTAATTCATCAAGTACGCTCACTCTCGTTTTTTCCTATACCTATCAGTAATAATTGTGTTCAAATTTTTATTTATGAAATTATAAAATAAACTAAAGAAAATATTTTAAATTATTGAAACTTTCTATAAAAGGTATTTAAAAAATATCCTGAATTGATACAAATTTCTGTTTACCAAATAAGAAGCCCCCTCCTTACTGTAAATTATTTAGTGTATATTGTTTTTGAAAATTTTGATTTAATTAATTCGAAAATTGAATGGGTAGTTTTTTTAGTTATTAAAATGCATGTATAGTAAGAATAATATTACAATAGTCCTTAAAATAGTTTTACGCAGAAATATTAAATCAATTTAACATAAGATTCAATATTCATTATACTTGAACCGTTTTTATAAATAATAAATGTCGATAAATTAATATTAATTATTAAAATCCCTAAAATTACCATAGCCTCCAAATGTTTCGAACTCACTATCATTGATCTATTATCCTTAGTACACAAAATTAAATAGCTCAAAAACTAAATAGGTATTCGTCCGAATTTTGATTTCAATACATCGAAATTATTATAAAAATTATACGCTTAATAATTTATAGTAGATGAAATGGGTTTTCTGATTTTACCTAAAAAAACAGATTTCTTTTATCTTAGCAGCCACTCTTTAGGTTAGGCGGTATAAAAAATACCAAAAAATAATGAAAATCCGGTCTTTAAGAATATTTAAAAATTACAAATATCAATTTTTGAACAGCTACATTATTGAAAAAAAAAAGTTATACTGCTTAATGAATCACCCTGTGGAATACGATAAATATTATTCCGTACGCGCTGTATAAAAATGTGTAAATATCATAATAGTCTTCGATCCAGGCACGCGCGTCCGCCGCGGTGTAGTATATTATGTAGGTACAAGAAGTATCAACCGTAGAAGAAAAGAATGTAATAACGACTTTTAACGTTCGTTTTTTGTTTTGTTTTGTGGACGATAATACGATGTCTATCGCCACTCCCTTCGTTAAACCACCGGTTGCCGGAGTAGTAGTAGTAGTAGCATCGCTAACGGCCAAGGAACATAGAATATTAATATTATTATATATTATTATATGGTAGGTGCCTACATGTTTACGGTCTCCCCTGCGCACATGCATCGACTAGCGTTTCCTTCCGACACTCATTACCCCCTCCGAACACCTCCCCACGACAAGCCCCGGTCGGGGGTCGCCAGAGCGTAACAAAAGGAACGCGGCAGCTGCCGATGCGCGTATATATTTTGTAACGACGTTATGTGTGTTGCCCGTTGGCCGATTGCTTTTTGCCGTTGTACTGTATAGGCGCAGTCGGCTAGGCGGCTGAGGCCGCGGAGGGGACGATATATATAATATTGCGTATACTCGCGCGCGCCACAAGTCTAACGGTCGATGGCGCGGGGATGAAAATTTACCACCCCCCAGTCGCCACTAACACCGGACCGAAATAAATATACATATATAATGTTAAGTTATACTGTACGACTGTATAAAGTCGGAAGGAAATCGTAAAGTCATAATAAATAATGTATCGCGAAGACGGAGATTTCATTTTTACCGTTGATTTAAAAATAAAACTCTTCGAGTGTTCTGCTTTGTGAGGGAAGAGTACGGACATTTTTTGACGTGCTTGTAGTAGGTACCTACATAAAAAAGTCTGTGGAATTATATTATAAGGTTCAATATACAGTATACCGTACGACATTTTTAATTGTGTACCTTATACTATATATTATTAGTCAGTGGTTAGTACCTACACACTGGCACACTGAACATCACCGTTTCGTTAGATAAATCTGCACAGTATTTTTTTTTAATGTTTATTTAAAATTTACAATCCATAAAGATTTATTTACAGTAAACATATTTTATATGGATAGTTAGATACGAATGATAAAAATGAACAAGTATAATAAATAGGCGAAGTTAAATTTTGATCGACGTACCAATATGTATACGATTTATGCGTTCCTGCGACAGTCTGCGGTAATCGACGAACAGCGACTATATACTTTCACGAAACAAGAAAAAACGATAATTAATGACTATAGCTAGGGACTTGTAGGAATTTGATTTTTTTCAATTATTATTCAAAACCTAGTTCATCACATTAAAGAAATTTGTTTCAAAGTACTAGAAGCTTAAAGCAATCATTTTTATTTTGCATATTTTGCATATCTGCTCTTTTTTTCGTTCTAAGTGCATATTTTGTTATATATTTTATATTTTAAGTGCATATTTTGTTATATATTTTGTTAAAAAAAAAAAATTAAAACAGCATGAGACCAAGAGAATAATATTTTATACGTATTTTACAATATTTAATATTAATTTTCTAGAAATTGAAAAAAAAAACGAATTAAATATAAATTATTAAATAATTTATCTACCGCGTATTTTCCTAATTATTTATGTGCCATATTAAACATAAATTTGGTCAATAAGGAAAACGCCAAGTCTGTTGGTATCGTATGTTTTCATCTATCGTTAATATTGTTAGTATAATATTCTAGACTAAGTAGGATTTTTTGTTATGAAAATTATATTAAAGATACCTTATTTAATAATTAATACATTTAAATTTTTGGTTTTTTAATGAAAAATAAATTATTTTTAAAAGCATATTTTAGTATTTTTGCATATATTATTTTTAGAACAAATATGATAATTTTTAAGGGCATTAATGCTTGCATATTTTGAAGTTTTTTTAGAGTACAAAGTCCTTAGCCATATTAATGACTATTACCGTAACACTTCATTACCGCTATTCTCCGGTATATCTGTAGCTTGCCCTGCAGTGTCTGAATATTTCGCCAACGCGGTCCCAAATCCCAATCACACACATGCCGTTTATTATTCGCGTAATATTATACTATTATTAGTTTCGACCTGCAGACGACAATATCGTGATTTAATTAGTTTTTCGCGAGGATCCCTCTCGTCCCAAACGTAAATGTATACAAATATTCGCTCAATGTATCGTGTATTATAATGCATATAATATTATGCTGCAGAAGTTCGACGAGAGCGAGCATCCTTATTGTACACGCGCACGTGACCATAAAACTATTAAGACATTAATTTCTCGAGGAGAATTTGTCGTATTAATCTACGAATTTTCAGTTCCACGCCGCGGTTTGGCCTATATTGTTATACATATAATAACGCACAATAATATCGTGTTATTTGCGAACCTATATTCACGAAGAAGACGCTTGCAAAAAAAAACCATTTTGACCGCCGCTCCGCCACTCGCGGTCAACTCGCTCGTTTTTTCGCGCCAATAACGATCGTTGCAAAAGGGTTTTTGCAACCATAATAATCCTTTTCAATTTACGGTCGTATTATATTAATATAATATTATTGTGTATGCGTCTCTACATAGGTCTACTGCGCCGCCCGCATATAACCGTAAACACAATACTCGTACGATACGCGTACAGTAAGAGTATACCTACCTATACACACACACATACACAAACACCCTCTTATGCACGACATATATATACAAATTTAGGTATAGATACACACACACACTCTCTTATAGGTGTAAGTACACACACACACACACACACTCACTCATGTACATGTGCACAAAATTATTCGGTTTGCAGCTGTCACCGGCGGTCGCGTGCCCAAACATCTGCTCCCGCGCTTCGTCAAAACACATGGCCCGCCTCCAGCCCGCCGCCAAACGCGACCGGTTGTGTGCGTCGTAGCCGACTGCCGACAGTCAATCGTTGTCGTCATCGCGAGCACACGCCAGGAGACCGTATCGCGACAATAATAATAATAATAATAATAATAATAACAATAATATCGCTACCGTCGCGAGTCGTCTCGATCATCGCCCGTGGTGGCGCCGCCCGCCGGACGAAGAATTTTCCAGAAAGCTCCAGACGATATTTAAACACCAACGTACACACACACACATATATATATATAAATATATAGCGAATTACGTCAACAGGTCAGTTTTTCCACTTTTAGTTTTACGACATATTATAATACCAAAAAAAAAACCCCCCTCGCACACGGCGCTCTAATAATAATCATATATTATATTATATTAAAACAAATGTATACTGGTGGTGGTTTTCGCATTTCGAGCAGTTTGGTAATGATGCGAGACGGCGTCGTTAAAGATTCGGTCGGGGGTGCAAAGTTATCTGTTAAGTTTTCGTAACAGACCTTAACGCAAGTTTCTACAGGTTATTCTATTTCTATACAACTGACGCGATTGCAAACAGACGTTGTGCGAACTCCAACCTAACCGTCGAACTCAGTTTCGCAGGTATTGGCACATTTTCCGCCGAGTGTAGCACAGTTGCATACCTTTTTACTTGTAAAATTTCCTAATTTATCTACCCGAGGTAAAAAGTATACTGTTGATTCGGTTAAAACCTCTAAATTTCGTTTTTTCAATTTTTACCCATGCATAAAATAGTTAGTTATACTGTATAAGTCAATAAAACATTTTAATTTAATTCATTCAATATGAACCTATATAATACGATAAGTAAATTATGGATAGTTATTTTTTTCGTTTGAATAAAAATGTATTATTTGTTATAAAAAATATATTTTTTGATAAGCACAAATACATAATACTATATTTATTATTATTTTAAATTAAGTAGGTGTAAACTGAAATTTTACAACTTATAATCATAAAAAAGAGTTTCAGCTACCAGTAAATCAGTACTTTGATATTTTGATATTATTTTATAACACCTAATGCTTTTTTTTTCAACACCGATTATTAGTAAGGATAATTATAATGAATTTATTTTGGTTGGTGTAGTATCGTATTGTGGTTAGTTTAAATATAAAAGGCAAAAACGTACAGTCGGACAATTACGACGCATTAATTGTCTTATTTATCTATCGTTATCCATCTAAAACCATTTTAATCACTTTTAAATTATGTGTATGTCCATGAATCTGATACCTTATCTCTTTTTCTTTTGGAAATGTGATAAATACTTTTACGTACTGACTTGAACACAGTAGACTACTCGACTTAAATAGAATGAAAACGTTTTTATATTCCGAGAAACATGCATTTCTCGACAATTAGCGTTTAATATAAGAAAATTTAATTTCTGTACACCGACCATACTGAGATAATTACTTTTTATTTAAATAAAAATCTTAAGACATATCTCAAGTCAGTGAGGTGACACGAGTGATATACTGGGGTTTTTTGGTACCTAATTAATAAAAAAAGACAATTAATAAATAATTTAAATTTAACCAAAAAGTAACATCAGCCATCCTTGCACCAAGCTACATAATCATACTACACAATCCATTATAACACCAGCTGCCACAATCGCGTTTATCATCCATCTTGGTCGTATATAAATTAAATCTATACTTTTATTCTATTTGTAAGTTCCACGCAACTTATGAACGTTATAGGTGCTACAATGATTATTTTTGAACATAAAATGTAGTTGCTGTAAAGTAAAACCTTTTTTCCTTTTGGTAATAATATAATTTATTATTCGTTAAATATTATTAAAAAAAAATCAAACTCAACGTCCTACAGTGTATTAAAATGGTTTATAAATAATTTGTAATGAATAATCATATATTTTATTTTTCTTATGGTTTATAATAATATTATGAAACAATATTTAAAGTTTAAAAATATACTAATTTTCCTTCTTCTGATATTATAATAATAAAAGCTAAACAGCTAATGAATTTACATTATTTTTTTTTTTACGGTTAAGAGTAACTCTATCCTTTTCCCATGGGTTTGTGTGTTACAAATAATAAGAGTACAGTATATATTAGATCACGAGAAAAACTATTGTTCAACACCCATTTTAATTATATAAGCTTACTATCATTAATTTTTTTTCTATTTTTATTTGACATAAACATTTTATATAAATTAGAATAATAAGTTTTTATGATATTACTACGAGAGTAATATATATTATATAACATGAAAAATATGATTAAAGTATACTACCCGCTAACTCTTGGCTAGCAATTAGTTTTTAATTATTATTATTTTTTATTATATATATATATATATTTGGGTCGTTAGATATTAAAGTTTTGAAAAAGGTTACAGCACCACTTACTTTTTGCCTGCTTGCAATTAGGATTTCTTATAAGTGTAAGAATGAAAAGATCTTATATAAGAAGGCTAGGATAAGTTTGAATTCATCTATGGAAGCGTGTGTAAAAGATAAGCTCTTTTTCATCAATTGTTCGCATATGGAAGTCATTATGAAAAGTTAAATTATAGACATAGGATGGAGCATAGATAGTCGTTGGGGTGATATATTTTGGAACGTTTGAATTCTATTAATGTTAGATTTTTCTGCCACATTCCATAGTTAAAATCCTTATGTCCAGATCTATTTGAGTAGACCTTAATAGAAAAATAGTTTGATCCTTTGAGTGAAACATTAATTTCTGATTAAGAGAGGTCTCAATATACGATTATTTAAAGTTAATTATTTAATTTCGAAAATGTTTATTTCAAGTTAGTCTTTTATTAAGTATTAATTCTAAGTATTCAGACAGTACCAGTAGTAAGAATCGGTACGTTATTTAGGGTAATGTTTGGGCATCTGCTCATTGTGAATGTTACACTTTTATATAGACTTTTTGGTTTATTTTGAAACACCATTTTTCATATCACTGAGGAAAATTATTAAGATGCATTTATAAATCTGATAAGACAGCTAATGCAACTTTATATTGCAATCCTTTATTCCCTACTCGGTCAAAGGCTTATGAAACATCTACAGAAACCACAAGTGCATTACAATTTTTTTCTAGAGATGAAGGAATAGCAAGTGTAGGTTATTAACCTAACCTAACCATTTGATGTGCTTGATATATCGTACTATATGGTTTACGGAACCCGGAATGAGTGTTTGGGAGTATACTATTAGTGGTAGTATACGGTATTAAAGTTTCAAGATAATTCTTTCTAAAATTTTTGATAAGAAGAGAAATAGAGTATAATAAGTAATTTTTCAGGCTAAACGAAAAAAATTATTTTAGAAAGTTTCTATAAGTTTAGAAAGCACGAGAGTCTGAGTAAAGCATTAAATATGTAAGTTATAAGTACTATAGATTTTTTTGGAAAGGCACTTAGCTACTTATACGGTAATTATATTAAAGATGGTTGATTTTTTTTCGATAAGTATTTTTGAGTTTTTTTTTTATTTCATTTCGTTTGGAGTGAAGTATCTTTTTTTCATTATTAACTATTACATTTTTAAAATAAGTTTATTAATAATATATTGGCTAGTATTTTTAATTTTAATTAAATGAACAATTTTTGAATAACTACCTTATTTTAAATAATAAAATAATAAACTTGTATTAAACTATCTCCAGAATTGTATATAATTTTCAAGAACTGCTAGGGTTCTTGTTCTAATGTATTTTTTTTTCGAGATTTTTCATTTATATTTCTACTACAGCCATATAATTCAGTAAAAAACAAAGTAATTTGTCATTGACGTTTATAGGATTTATATTTCTCTAATAATGAAATGGTTCAACCTCAAAAATAAATTTCTTTATCTTACATCTATATGTATAATATTTTTTTGTGTTTTTGATAATTTTTTAAACAAGATATTATTTATTTTTAATATTAAAAAATATAATAATAAAACCATAATGTAATACAGTTTATAATTGTAAATATAATTCCTAGATTTTTAGTTAATTTAATAACTTATGTCTTAACCTAACCTAATAGCAAATAATTTGGCCGATAATACTTATCTAATTTAAAATAATTCAAAATTTAACTGATTAGTATTACAATAATTCAATTGACACAAATAAAAGTTAAATTATTCAATATTTCGTAGAAAACTATGTGCGTACTTAAATTAGATAGATTAGTAGTGTAGGACTATTCATTAGGTGATTTGATAAAATGAAAAATAACTACAAGAATATGATATTTTGATATATATATATATATATTACCTATGTGTGTGTGTGACTTTTAAAAGTTTAAACGGTACACGAGATATGACTATGATCTTTTATTTAACTATAAAAACAATTCAAAAAAGACAATAAACCTAGTTTGAAAACCTTTCCAAAAATACGAAATTCAGCGCTTTTACAAACGAATAAAATGAATGAAAACAATAATCATTATCTAATACCACAACCCAAAAACGCGTAGAAAATGTATAAAACTTAGAACGCGAATGCCTTCCAAATTCGTTATCCCTTCATCTCAAATTAAAACTTTATCTCATATACTAGTTTTCCACTCGATCGATAATGTAAGAAATGCGGTTCACGTTGCTTATCATATTATGATGGAAGGATTATTTTTATACCACGAAAACTTATGAAATAGCTAATGGTATCAATACATCATATAATTCAATGTCATTACTTATAATTCGTTTTTCATTGAAAATATTTAAAAATGAAAAGTGAAAACCTTACATTGATTATTTTGTTTAGATGAATGGAACTAAGACTAAGTACTTAAGAGTATATTTGTATTAACTTAGAAACTTCAAATTATATACTTTAGTATAAACGTTTAATACATAATCGTTAACTAGTTTAATTTTTACTAAAATACCGAATTTATAATATGGAATTAATAATTTTATTTTTTTTTGTTTTATTTAATAATTAATATATTTTCTTTCAATATTTCTACTAGTGACAAACACACATAGAATCCTAAGAGTGTTTTATAAATATTTATAAACAAAATATTGTATGCATAATTAAAAAAAACCATTTTACATAGATATTTTTAGATTTTCATTCATATCACGTTCATTAATATGGAAATGGACTAAGCTAATTCACTATTAAAGTATATTTAGTATAAAACTAGAATATTTCTTTTGTTTTTATTTAAAAATGTTACTGCACAAAATAAATATATAATATTATTTAGTTTTGTGTTAAAATAATAATATCAAACATATGTAGGGATTATAA